ATGTGTTGGAAAAATAGAAACATTGAGAAAATAGAAGGAATGATATATGTGAAATGGAGATGTAATATAGTAATTTTTTATCCCTTATTGAGTCATGAATAAAGTCATACCTTAAACTTAGTTTCTCTCAAAATATAATACAGTATACTTTAAATATTCATTTCAATAAGCAATAATTAATATTTTCATGCCATTTTTGCGTCCACCTCCTCCCTGAAGCAGACCATCTGGAACTGCTTAAGGCTGCCAGGCTGTTGGGATTTCTCTGTCTCCCTCTTGGGAAGTCCAACCCAAACTAAATGAATAACTTTGAAGAGCAACCTATGTGAAAATGTGACACGTAGTACTAAAAAAGACTTGAGAACATTGATTTTTCTAGGTTATAATTGAGTGAAATAGTTCCCTAACATAGTAAAAGAAAATCAGGTGCATAGTACTGAACAACGTAACCTATAAATGGGTAACTTCATATTCACATCTACTATAGTATAATATGCTATATCACCAGTTAGAAATCCCTTTTCTCAAACCATTGTAAATTTAGGCACATATCACTTTCACTTTTCAAAAGGGAGAATTTGTTTTTACCAACTTCAGAAATGGGAATCATATAAGCTATGTAAGGTATAGGAGAAGGAAATGGCAAACCACTCCAGTATCTTTGCCAAGAAAACCCCATGGACAGTATGTAGGATCCATGGGATACAACTGAATGACTGAACACGAAAAAGATATGGGAGAGGCAGCACGGCATAGTGGACAGAGAGCAAGGAAGTGCTGGGTTCATTCTCCTCTGACACATAATGGCTATGTGACACTGGAAAATCACTTACCCTTTTAATGCTTTAGTCTACCCTGTAAGACCAAAAGTTGCAGAAAAGGTACTGTCCTGCATTGATAGAGAGAATTTTCACATCTGGGAGTTTTTTATACCAATAAAATCAAAGGTCCAGTCCCTGTCTCCTAATATATACTATGTTCTTAAAATATTTAATTGAATCTTTAGGTGGACATTTGAGTAGATGTTCAATTACAGAGAGAAATACAATACAATCTATTTCAGTATGTGCATGTGGAACTTTCAAATCACAGGAATAGTTCATGCTATGGAGGATAAGAGTCTAATAAACTATGTTTTTAGCAAAATACTTCAGGGTAGATGATACTTCAGAACATGTATTTCACTAAGCTTACCAATGGCTCTTGAAATGATTTGAGCTGAACATGCAATAGATTAAATAAACAAAAAAAAAACCTTATCAAATGAAAAAAATCAAATAATCTAAAATCAACGTCCTACTTACTCCCCAAGGAATTTTTGCCCAGGAAATTGATTTTTCTTTCAAAATGTTTTTTTCTCATCCAGTTTTAAGGAATCTCTAGATGATGTATCTGTTTCTAATTTTGAACCCTGAGGCTAACCTCCAAAAGTCATTCCTAGATATTACCTTGAGCTTTTTTTCTTTTTTTTAAGTTGCTAATTATGACTCAGTGGAATTTAATTTTGTCCAGTAGAACACTGATCTTCATCTTAATAGCTGACTATGTAATTGCTTATCTCAAGTTAGGCAGGGGGCCTAAGCTTAAAAGCTAACAAGATAAAGACTTTATATGTAATATTTACAATTCCTTTCCCAAAATTATTTTGGACCAATCAGTGAAATGAGAGGAGGGGAGAGAGGAGGATTGGGGAGTGAGGGTGGGAGATATTATATAATAAGCTTCTATGATTTTCTTTAAAAAATAGAATTTCAACCAATGTGCATGTAAAATACTGCAAAAAGGGGTAAGATTTGTTCTTATTCCTTTTGGAAGGAGTTTCTGGCCTATTTATAAAGCATATATAAATATTTTGAGAATGTTAACATGCCAGATGAGGGAAACAATGATTTATATTGTATTTGTTCTGTTAGGATTAACAACCCTCACCCTTCTTATAATAGGTAGAAAATATTAACACACATGTAACTTTATATAAATATTTTAACATTGACAAGTATCTTTGATCTATTTTTAAGATGTGTTCAATATTTCCAAAAGCAACAGAGCAGAGAGATTTTTGAGAATATTCTGAAAGTGTTCCTTACAATAAGGGATTCCTTTCCTATTTCTAGCACCTTATATTTTTCCCCCACCTTTATTTCAAAGTCTCTTTTATGGCATTTAGAAAACCAATATTTCCAAATGTTTCAGAGAGAAACTTGAAATAGATTTTTAGCTAGAGTCTCAAGAAACAAATACTGGGGCCATTCGTATATCATTTCCTTTGTCATTAGGGAATCTGGATGTATTGATTCTCATTTCAGAAGCTTTATTTTCATTCACAACTACCAAATAAAAAATTTGAGACGTGTAAATTATAAGAAAATAGCTATCAATTCTTACGTTGTGGATTTTATAAATAGACATACCTCATACCAATCAAACCAGCCATTTTATTGTTCTGCCAAATAAAAACAGAACATTACTAGAAAAATAGCATGACAACATGAAGCCCTCTTTTAAAGTAAAATTATGTTTTTCAAAAATTAATTTTCATGCTAGCTTTTTCTTCAAACTAAAATTTTCATTACCAGGTAAGGGATCAATCTGTTGTTTGAATGGCTTTTCTAGCTGAAATGCTTAATGCATTTTGACTCAACACATTGGAATTACCTCTTTCTTTTCCATCTGAAAAATATGCATTCACTTATTACCGACTTTTTCTTAAGAGAAATAATTTATGGAATGACAATATTCTGTAGCGATAAAATTAGCTTGGACCAATGGCATTTTTTTTTATTTTCTGTAGTATTTTGAATGTGTCCCTTTCTTTAATATGTCAGCAAGGGCACTTACAAAGACAATGATTAACTGTCAGGACTCAGAAAATATCCTGACTGTGAGACACTAAGGTAGATTGCATTCCTTCAATTCTCTCACTTTAGTAGACATTCCCATTTTAAAAATAAGTCTTCAGTTCCTTTGCAAAAAGTCAATGAAGCCTAGAAAGGGTGAAATATTAACAGTAATCCATCCCTACCTGTCTTCCAACTTACTTTTTCCACTTCCTTTATTTTGATACTAAGAATGACTCTAAGCAAGTAGTTATGTGCTGCTGTATGTGTATGTAAAAAGAGTTTTAAATTTCCTGACCCTTCCTATTCTGCTCTTTGGGAAATCCCAGAGACAAAATTCAGTTTAATTACAGTAGGTTCTGTGGTAGCATACTTTTTGGGAACCAGAGTAACACCTGGCATTATAATTATCGACTAAATAGCAAAAGCTCCCAGGTTTACAAATGTTTTCACAAGTTCATTTGTCTCTTCCTGTGGCATCAATTAAAAAAATCCATTTTAAAAGAAATTCCATTGTAACACATTTCTATATGAAGCCCTAAAAATCGAACTCAAAAGTGGAATGCCAGACAGTCTTGGTAACTGATCTTTAGATTTCTGAATTTTAGTGCAGAGTACTAAACCTTAGTACTTTCTCCACCCCTCACCCCCTAATTCCAATGAAAAGTGCTTGAATGTACCAGGATATCTTCAATTTGACAAACTAACCTTAATTTTCTGTTTTAATCAGTTACTAGACTCTCCCCCACTACCACCCCCAAAATCATCCCCTAACCTTGTCTTTCAATTTGGAACTAACTTCCTTTTCTTTCTTTCTTTTTTAAACAACTTCCCTCTCATCATATTTTAATTTAAACTACTAGTAACTCTGAAGTTAGAGGGACAGCTTGGAGTAGAGGCTAGAATACAGCTATGGTGTCAGGCAAACCTGGGTTCCAATTTGTCTTTTACACATAGTGGTTGTGTGACCTGGGCTATAGTGTCTTAGTACTCTACATAACTCTAATGGCAAAGCAGTTGCTGATATGTATTGATGGAGAGGATTTCCTCACCCAGGATACTGAAATCACCAAGCCTGACCAAAATAAAAAGCTGTGGAGTTGCCCAATTTGGTTGAGATTCCCCCACTGCATGAAGTCTTCTAAAAGGCTTTCTCATTTTTTGCACACTAACCAGCACCACCTCGCGAGGAAATCCAGTCTCCGGGCATTCCTGTGCTCTTTAGAAGCCATTCTCATCTTTGTTACCGTTGCCATTAGACAGGAGGCATCTCCCAGCCCCTCGAAGGAGAGAACAGTCACCACTCTCCCATGGCTGTATAGTTGGGGGTGGGGTGAGAAGGGAACCCAGGAGACTTGGAAGAGCGGGCCAGGAAGGAGGGAGGAACTCCGGCTGCAAGGGCAAGCCTAGGATGGAGACAGGGAAAGTGGGCGATGAGGGAAGGAGAAACTGGGAACACCGGAGGAGATGCCTGGGAGCGGGGGGCAAGGATAGAATGGAGAGTTAGAGAGCAGGCCAGGGAGGAAATAGGTACCCAGGAACAGGGGTATGCCTAGGATGGAGATGAGAACAGCTGGCCAGGGAGGAAGGAGGTACCTTGGAGATGAGAGGATAGAATTGAGACTTGGAAAGCTGGCTAGAGAGGAAGGAGATACCCAGGAATTGGGGGTAAGCATAGGATGGAGATGGGGCAGCCAACAAGCGAGGAAAGAGGTACCCAGAAGCCAGAGGGAAGCATAGTATAGAGCTGGCCAAGGAGGAAGAGAGCTGAGAGCAATAGGTTGGAGACTTGGAGATCGGGCAAGAAGGAAGGAGGTATAGCCTAGAGCAGGGGACGAGCATGGGATGAAGACTTGGAGAGCCGGCCAAGGAAGGAGGAACAAGGGAGTAGAGGGAAAGCGACGAGAGAAAGCAAAAGAAGGGCTGCGGGATGGACCATGCAAGAAGGGGCAGCTGAGGTCACTGGGATGGGTTGGGGAGGAAAACGGAGGCTGGGCCCGAGCAGGGGGCGCGGGGGCTGCGGCAGGGTGGGCGGGTGCGGGACTTAGCGGCTGGGGCGGGGGGCGGGGGCAGTGCTTCTCTCTCTCCCCCCACTCCCGCCTTCTCTTCTCCCTCCTCATCCCTCCCCCAACTCCAGCCCAGAGGCCGTCCCGGCCACTTAACTATTTGTAGAGCTGCTGCAGGCACAGGTCCAGGCTCTCGCCCTCCACCTCCTCCGGGGTGATGCGCTCCGAGAGCGGCCGCGGCAGCGGGGGCAGGGGCGGCGGCGGCTGCTGCTGCGGCGGCGGGGGAGGGGGCCCGGACTGCTGCCCCGGCCCCGGGCCCGCCTCGTCGGCCACCCCCTCCTCCGCGCCCTCCCCGTCTCCGTCCTCGTCCTCGTCCTCGGCTGCCACCGCCTCCTCCTCCTCCTCTTCCTCCCCGGGCTCTGGCACCAGCACCACAGCCGCCGCCACCGCTTCGTCCTCCACCTCCTCCCGAGTCCCCTCGGCCGCCGCCGCCGGCTCAGGCTCGGGCTCGGGCTCGGGCTCGGACTCCGGCTCGGGCTCGGGTTCGGGCTCGCCGCCGCCGCAAGGTCCGCGGAACTCGCCCAGAAAGAGCTCGAGGAAGCGCCGGTAAGTTTTCTCCTCGGGGCTGCAGCCGGCCATCATCGCTGCTCATGCCCCGGCGCGCGCCGGGCGGGAGAGGGGAGGGCGGGAGAAGCCCAGGGAGGGGCGGGGGGGCTGCCCTCAAGCCTCTTCTCGGTTCCCCCAAGGGCGGTGAGCGACCGCACCGGCACGAGCGATCAGCACTAGGGTTGCCTGGAGAGGGCTCCCGCAGGCGTGCGCGCCGCCGAGTACGGACGTGCGCGACCCGGGAGCGGGGGCAGAGGCAGAGCGCGAACCCCTCCCCTCCCTCTCCCCTCCCCTCCTCTCCTCCCCCCTCCCTTTCCTCCGCTCCAGGGAGAGAAAGTTGGTTCAGAACGCGCGCCCCCGGCTACGACCGAGACCATCCCCATCAAGCAGCGGCCCTCCCTCCAGCCCCAGGGAGAGCTGGGCCCGCCGCCTTGGAGACCGTTGCCATGGCAACCTGCTTTAATTAAGAATCCCCGGGTCCCTCCCGCCGGGTCCGCAGAGTCGTCAGGACCCAGCACGCTCCTGTCCCTCCGCCACCCCCCGCCTCTTCTCCCCCCCGCCCCCCCGAGGATTCCCAGAGGATGGCAGCATCCTCCCCACCCTTCTTGACTGTGCGGATGCAGGTGGGCGCAGGCGACCCGGATCCGGCCCTTAGCCACCACGGACACCGAGTTAGGAAGCTCCCTTCCATACCTCAGTTTCCTCGCCTGTAGAATGGAGTTAAATCGAGACAAGTCTTCCACCCGCTTGTCATTTTATAACGCGAAGGAAGCTGCTTTTAAGAGAATTGCGAGAGGCTGGTTGAACATGCACTAAAGGTGTTGGTTCAGAGCATATGTATGTTATAGATTATTCCACAATTGCTCTTTCTCCTCTCCCCCCTTCCCGCACTGGAACTCGGAAGAGCTTTTCCACCCAAACTACACACAAACCATTGGTATGCTATAGTCAAACCTTGTCAGGGAAAGAAGAAAAAAAAAAAAACTCTGCACTGTTCTACATGTGGATGGGGGTTAAGCAAGCAAAATGCAACGCCTTCCTGCTTCCAGCTGACCCTATATAGTAGCTCAAAGCTTGGGCCCTTGGGGATTGGCAGAACTCCTGGCTGATTCTAGCTGGCCTTGTGTGCCAAAATCAGGGCTGAAAGATTCTTCTGCTTTGAGATGAGAAAGAAATCCCCTCATTGGCTACTGATCAGGAAAAACCATGACTCAGTGGACCTTTAAAAAGGGAATTACTATTCTTGTCTCTCTTCTCTTTTCATGTAGCAGATTGTGTCGGTACTGTTACCCGAGGCTTCCCCTGAAGCTTAGGAGGAAAAGCAATTTATCCCATCCCCATCCTGGTTGCCTTTTGGCAGTAAGCACACGGCCGCTGAAGCCCATGCTCTACCTATATTTCTGATCCTGGACTTGGGGCTGCCCCTTCTGTATTTGTTCTTTCCTGCTCTTCTGTGAAAGAATAATTGATCCTGAGATGGATGTGTCCAGGCTTAGAGACCTTGTGAGACTGATAGGTTCATCAGTCCTCCTTTGTTCAGAGCTGACTCCTGGAAGGGGCAGGAGTCTTGGGCAACTACTCCAGAACTCTGTGAGTAGATGAGCACCAAGATGAGCCCAAGCCCAGAAGACTTTTACTAGGGTGGGGAGGGACAGTGAAGAGTGAAGGTGAAATGTAAAATGCCTACTCAGGTGTCCCACAAAATGCCTTAGGTTTAGATGAAGTTCAAATATCAACCACGGGAGAGAGAATGCCAGAAGTTGTTAATGCCACTCTTAAATTTGTTTCTGTCCAGTATGCACTTGTGTTTGGCATTACTTCTGTGTATAAGAAATATATACCTGTTCCATATTTGATTCATATTGTATGCTGGGCGGGGGCAGCTAGGTGGCACAGTGGATAGAGCACTGGCCCTGGATTCAGGAGGACCTGAGTTCAAATCTGGCCTCAGACACATAACACTTAACTAGCTGTGTGACCCTGGGCAAGTCATTTAACCCCATTGCCCAACTAAAAAATAAAAAAAAAAATCTCATATTGTACACTGAGTACCTTTCTACTTTCTGTCAAGACAGAGTCAAAAACTAAGTTTTAAATAAATTATCTGGATGATGCTGGGGTGGGGGTATGGAAAGGTGAAGAGTGTGAGAAAATGTATCCCCTCTCAGTAGAGGTCAGGATTCCCCTCACAGTATTGAACCCCCTCCAGCTGTGTGAGGGCAGGAGGATCCACTGATAAGGTCCTCTTAGTGGAGAAGGAGTAGAAGATTGCCTCAGCCTCTCTGGACCAGCATGGCTTCTAATTGTTAGATGTATGACAGACATATAATCTGTAACATTATGCTGCTTTGCTTTCCTTCTGGTTTCTAACTCTGCGGTAATACAATCACTAAGATATAGATCCACTGCAACATATAGCTGAACAATAAGGCAACATCTTATTCATCCTCTACCATGAGAAATACATCCTCACAAACTACCCATAAGGCCAATTCTATTGGCTGCTGCCTGGCCTTAGGTCTGTTAATTAATTGGATTTGAAGTCTGAGGTAACTTTTCCAGTCAGTGGCAAGAGAGATACTCCTCCTGCCAGCTGTTGTCATATAATATCCTAAATCCCTGCCCTGATACTATTATTTTCAGATCAAGTGGTTTTGGCCCTAATGTACAATATTATGGCATCATGTAAAATAAAGATTTCTATTCGTAGTCCTAGCCTAAGGAGATTAAATAATACCTGACAGGGAATGTTGAGTACTGTACATGAATCCCTCACATTTATTTTGGTCTCAAAGGTAAAACCCAATAAATAAGACGGCTGCCAGACAGCCTAAATGTATTTATATATGTTTTCTTCAAAACACCAACAGTGTAGAGCAACTTCACTGTTTGATGCCAAGAAAGTCTTTAAACTCCACAGCTCTCTTTGTTATTCAACCCACCTGTTCGTTTCTGTTTCAGAATACCTTCTGTAAAGATTAAAGAAAGTTTTTGCTGAAAGCATAAATGACCACAATATTTAGCTCCTTATGACTGGCTAATGTCTCTAAGGTTTTCTTTCACACTTTGACTTTTAAAAATTCAAGATTGCATAGTTGTCAAATGTAACAATATCAAACTACCACTCTCTGCTTCTCAATTGAGTTACTCTGTCTAGATCACATTTATTTGTGACATTAATTTATGACTCAACTAGCATATCAAAGAGAAGTGATATATGTTGGGAAAACATTATTACTAACAGTGATAGAAAATGAAAGAAAAAGCTCACACCTACATGTTACAATGTTAATGGCACCAAAAATGAGAGAAGTGCTTGCTTTTTATCTGAAGGAGATATTCAGTACTCTTAAATAGTAATCCCTTCAGGGAGGATCAATAAGGATTCCTCAGAGTCCACTTAAAATAGAGCAGCTTTGCCATTATTGGCTGTTAATAGTAGTGTTGGGATCATGGAGACCCAGTGTAGAAAAACTTCACTACTGTAAGAAAATGTCTCACCTTTTTTATGTTGTGTTACCTCACATCCCCAGATACTTCACCTTTTTTTTAACCCTTTAAGCCTTCATGTTTCTCTCATCTTTTTCTTTCTTTACTTCAACATTTCCAGGATCTCTAATCGCATCTGTGTTAATACTTCCTCCACCACTGCAATCTCAACACCGTATAAGACTTGAAAAGTTGCTGTGGCCAAAAATTAATCACTTTGTGGCAAACCAGCTCTCTAAATTTTAGCAGTGGTTTCTGATATTTGAAAGCCAAAGAATAGGAGGAACCAAAGTTAGAGAAATATAATTACAAGGTGTTTTTTTCTTCACTAACGTCCAATGCCTCATTGTATCATGAAGGTGATCCTGGATGTTAGTAAACATCTCAAACTCAATATATCCAAAACAGAATGTATTATCATCCTCCCCTTCCCCTTTCCCCTCCCCCCACCCAACCCCACCCCACTAATCTTCCTATTTCCTATTTCTATTTCCTATTCTATTCTTATTACCACATTCCTTCCAAACACTCCATTTTGTAACCTAGGTTTCATCCTTGGCACCACTCTCTCTTACCCCCTCCCACCTCATATCCAGTTAGTTGTCAATTCTAGCTCCACAACATCTCTTGCATCTATTCTCTTGTCTCCACTCACACAGATGCCATCCTAGTTCAGGTCTTCATTACCTCTTGCCTAGACTACTACAGCAGCCTCCTATTTGATCTTCCTGCCTCTAGCCTCTTTCCTCTCCAATTCATTCTCTACAACAGCTGCCAAACTGATATGCCTAACACATAGACCTGACCGTATCACTTCCCATTTCAAAAAGTTTCACTTGTTCCCTGTTGACTCTGGGGTAAAATGCAAAGTCTTGTATCTCATGTTTAAAGCCTATCATAATTTAGCTCCAACCAGTCTTTTCAGATTGCTTTCATATCACTTTCCCTTGTGCATTTTACATTCCAACCAGACAGGCCTATCTGCTGGTCCCCATACATGATATTCCATCTCCCAGTTCAGTGCATGGAAAACATTCTCTCTTCAACTCCACTTGTTAAAATCTAGCTAATTTTAAGACTCAGCTCAGGTGCCACATCAGGCTTTTCCTGATCCCTCTGGTTTTTTCCAACCCCTTCCCAATTATTTTGCATATATTTTGCATTTATTTTTCTGTGTACATATTGTTTCCCCCAAGCATAATTTAAGTTTCTTAATAGCAGAGACTTTGTTTTCTCTTTGTAACCCCAGTACCTAGCACACAGCAGGTGCTTAATTGATTCTTTTTGAATGAATGAACTGTAGTTCTTGACTGTTATGCCAATGAAATGCAAATAAATATTGCCAAGTCCTACTAACCACCTGGAAAGTCTCTGTATGCAGTCTCTCAATGTACCAAACTACTTATGCTAGGAGATCTTATCACAAGAAGCCTGACTATTAGGTATTGAACCTTTTGAGCTATGGAAACTCATTGTAGAGGGGTTGTGATCATTGGCAAAAGTGCCCACACCCACAAAATCACGCATTTGCTAAAATGCTGAAA